GATTAATCTTTCTACTCTAATCTGTTTTGGCCAGGCCTATCCAGAGTATTCAATCTTATTCTGGATGCCAAAAAAAAAAAAAACGATTCAGAAAAATTGGAAGGTTTAGAGAACATAAAATAATAGAGTTTGAGGAAGGGACCTTAGAGGTCTTCTAGTCCAACCCCCTGCTCGAGCAGGAGACCCTAGGGGTGTCCAACCTTGGAACTTCTAAGACTTGTGGACTTCAACTCCCAGAATCCCCCAGACAGAATACAGAATAGAATACAGAAGAACAAAGGTGGAAGGGACCCTGGAGGTCTTCTAGTCCAACCCCCTACTCCAGCAGGAGACTGACTCCCAGAAGTTGAAGTCCACAAGTCTTAAAGTTACCAAGGTTGGAGACCCCTGATCTAGAGAAGGTTGAACCTTATGACCGAATGCAGAGTTTATAAGAGTTTCAGTTCCAGGAAGGAATTTCTATTAAATTTTAGGAGAAACTTCCCAAGAGGAAGATCAGTTGGAAAATGGGACTGCTACCAAAGCAGGGTGTGGTCTCCTCCATTGGGTGTGTTGGCTTGGAAGCTAGACAACCATTTGCTGGATTTGAGTTCCTTCGCTGAGTAGGAGACTCCTACCGAAGGCCACCTTCAGTCTCTAGCTTCCTAGGAACGGAGGATGTGACTGCTCGGAAAAGAAACTCAGTTGAAAATAAACTCAGTTTATCCACACCTATTTTGCTTTGCCTCATTCTTGGAGGACCTCAACTAATCATCATCCGCCATGCATGAATAAAATTTGGTATTTGCCATTGCACGAGAAACAGGCAAGACTCGGCTTATTGGGGAAAAAAATAGAGAAATTTACAAAGTTTTTAAGCTGGTCTACTTGTCCTGGAGAATATTTGAAATGAAGGGTCCAGGGTGCTCTCTGAACTTGATTGTTTTCTTTCATGACCCAACTAAGTGACATCCTCAGTGCTAGAAGGGAGAAGGGTTTGCAGAGAGGAGAAGGAGGAAGAGGAGGAGAAGGAGAAAGAGAAAGAGAAGGAGGACTGTGGGGGTCCTTGGTGCTCTCTGAGCTTGGTGGTTTTCCTGCAAACATTTCATGACCCAACTAAGGAACATCATCAGTGCTGGAAGGGAGAAGGGTGTGTCAGGAGGAGGAGGAGGAGGAGGAGGAGGAGGAGGAGGAGAAGGAGAAGGAGAAGGAGAAAGAGAAAGAGAAGGAGGACTGTGGGGGTCCTTGGTGCTCTCTGAGCTTGGTGGTTTTCCTGCAAACATTTCATGACCCAACTAAGGAACATCATCAGTGCTGGAAGGGAGAAGGGTGTGTCAGGAGGAGGAGGAGGAGGAGGAGGAGGAGGAGGAGGAGGAGGAGGAGGAGAAGGAGAAGGAGAAAGAGAAAGAGAAGGAGGACTGTGGGGGTCCTTGGTGCTCTCTGAGCTTGGTGGTTTTCCTGCAAACATTTCATGACCCAACTAAGGAACATCATCAGTGCTGGAAGGGAGAAGGGTGTGTCAGGAGGAGGAGGAGGAGGAGGAGGAGGAGGAGGAGGAGGAGGAGGAGAAGGAGAAGGAGAAGGAGAAAGAGAAAGAGAAGGAGGACTGTGGGGGTCCTTGGTGCTCTCTGAGCTTGGTGGTTTTCCTGCAAACATTTCATGACCCAACTAAGGAACATCATCAGTGCTGGAAGGGAGAAGGGTGTGTCAGGAGGAGGAGGAGGAGGAGGAGGAGGAGGGAGGAGGAGGAGAAGGAGAAGGAGAAAGAGAAAGAGAAGGGGACTGTGGGGGTCCTTGGTGCTCTCTGAGCTTGGTGGTTTTCCTGCAAACATTTCATGACCCAACTAAGGAACATCATCAGTGCTGGAAGGGAGAAGGGTGTGTCAGGAGGAGGAGGAGAGGAGGAGGAGGAGGAGGAGGAGGAGGAGGAGGAGGAGGAGGAGGGGAGGAGGAGGAGGAGGAGGAGAGAAGAAGAAGAAGAAGAAGAGAAGAAGAGAAGAGAAAGAAGAAGAAGAAGAGAAGAAAGAAAGAAGAAAGAAGAAAGAAAGAAAGAAAGAAAGAAAAGAAAGAAAGAAAGAAAGAAAGAAAGAAAGAAAGAAAGAAAGAAAGAAAGAAAGAAAGAAAGCTCCTTGGTGCTCTCTGAGCTTGGTGGTTTTCCTGCAGACATTTCATGACCCAACTAAGTAACATCATCAGTGCTACTGAGTGTGGCTTGCTTCCTGTTTATATGCAGAACCTGCGAGCTGGTTTATTTGCTTGCAGATAGTTCATTATACAACTCGACACTTCTAGCATTGATGATGTTACTTCTTGGGCAACGAGATGTCTGCAAGAAAACAACTAAGCTTAGAGAGCACCAGGGACCCCAAAGATTCACGGTTATGAATATTTCAAATATTCCCATTACGAATAGTCCAAAAGATGAAAGAAGAAGAAATTACATTTTTTGGGATGGATTAACGTGTTAATCTGGTTTGTGGTTCTTTATTTGATGTTCTCCAGATCTATTTTCCTCCTTTGGGAAATAGATATTTGCATAAATATTTATGACGGTCGGAGGGTCCCGGGGTCACACTCTGGGACTTGCAATGAAAGGCATAAAGCAGAGGTCTTCAAACTTGGCAGCTTTGTAGTCTTCAACCAGCTATGCTGGCTGGAGAATTCTGGGAGTTGAAGTCCACAAGTCTTAAAGCTGCCAAGTTTGAAGACCTCTGAAAAGCATCCGTGAATCTAGGCTGGAACCAGGAGCAAAGCCCAGCTAAATGATCTAGCAAATATTGTCTGAGGATGAAAATCATGTTCAACCATGACATGGACCTCATCCTAGCTAGAGTTCCTTCTTCGCAGTTTGCAGGGGTCAAAGTAATACGAACTGGATGTATAGGGATGGAAACTCATCAAGGAGAGAAGCAACTTAGAACTAAGGAGAAACTTCCTAACAGTGGGAACAATTAATCAGTGGAACTGCTTGCCACCAGAAGTCGTGGGTGCTCCATCACTGGAGGTCTTCAAGAAGATGTTGGACAGCCATTTGTCGGTCTCCTGCCTGAGTAGGGGGTTGGACTAGAAGACCTCCCAGGTCCGTTAATCAAGGAGAGAAGCAACCTAGAATTAAGGAGGAATTTCCTGATAGTGAGGACAATTAATCAATGCATCGATTTGCCTCCAGAAGTTGTGGGGTGCTCCAAGACTGAGAGGTTTTAAAGAAGAGACTGGACAGACATTTGTCTGAAATGGAATAGTGTCTCCTGCCTGAGCTGGGGGTTGGACTAGAAGACCTCCGAGGTCCCTTCCAAACTCTGTTTTTCTGAATTCAATCTGCGGATATCCAAAAATCAACCACTGGGAAATTCCTCTCTGGAGAAGTGGCCGAGGTTGCTCCACTTCTGGAGACGAGAGTAGCCAAGTGGCCTCCTTGTTCTTCTTCTCCTCCTCCTTCCGTCCTTCCTTCCTTCCTTCCGAGTTGGCTTCCCGGGGCTGAATGTTGCAATTGTAGCATGTGGCTAGAATAACAGCGTCCCTGTGTCCAAGTTTTGCTTAAGTTCACAGATCCCATATGTGGAAAATTTTTCAGCTGCGCGGCGTGTCCTGCCAGTCACTCGAAGTCCATTTATCTTCTTGCCCTAGATTTGGTTGTCTTCCTCTCTGAGGTCCTCAGAGGAGGAGAAGGTCTCTCTGCAGGAAGCCACGTCTTGCAAAGTCCAGGTCTTGTTGGCCCTCTCCAGACAGCGCCCAGTTCCCACTCAAGGTTTCATTTTCTCCAAACTCACTGATCCCCATGTTTCATTAGTTAGATCCGGCCTTTATTACTCTTGTATACATAACTCGAGGTGATAAACATGCTCTTTCCTCCACACAACATTCTCTACACAACAACAACCCTGTGAGGTAGGTTGGGTTGAGAAAGAGTGGGACGGTCCAAAGTCACCCAGCTGGCTTTCATGCCTAAGGCGGGACTAGAACTCACCGTCTCCTGGTGATTGGCCCAAAGTCACCCAGGCTGGCTTTTATGCCTAAAGTGGGACTAGAACTCATTGTCTCCTGGTGATTGGCCCAAAGTCACCCAGCTGGCTTTTATGCCTAAAGTGGGACTAGAACTCACCGTCTCCTGGTGATTGGCCCAAAGTCACCCAGCTGGCTTTTATGCCTAAAGTGGGACTAGAACTCCCAGTCTCCTGGTGATTGGCCCAAAGTCACCCAGCTGGCTTTTATGCCTAAAGTGGGACTAGAACTCCCATCTCCTGGTGATTGGCCCAAAGTCACCCAGCTGGCTTTTATGCCTAAGGCAGGACTAGAACTCACCGTCTCCTGGTGATTGGCCCAAAGTCACCCAGATGGCTTTCGTGCCTAAAGCGGGACTAGAACTCACCGTCTCCTGGTTTGGAGGCCAGCACCTTAACTGCTAGGCCACACTGACTCTCATCGACCTGGAATTATAAAAAAAATTTCACGGGAGGCAATTAGGCCTGTACCTTGGTGGACTGTGTGAACTTGGAGGGTATCATTCCTTATCAGGTGCCCTCCAGGCATTGACTACAACTCCCATCATCCAACAGCCAATGCAAGATTGATGAGGTCCGCATGGAGCTCATTGCAAATCTGCTCCCTGGGCCTTCCTCTTCTGATAAAGATATCCAACTTTCCTCAGGTTGACCTCCTCATCCAGTTCCATCAAGCAAATAGACTCAAGAAACCATCATCCTGCGCTGTGAGGAAAATTGGGAGAGACAGGATCAGGAAAAGAGGTGACAAGATCCACAAATACGATCCCGGTTCGGATCCAATCAAGCTCTTTCTGCTGGGCATCGAGAGAACATTTCCATGGAAAGCTTTTCTCAGATATTGAAAGCTCCTGAGGAAAATTTTGGACATCAGCAGAGGAAAATGCACTCCCGCCTTGCTGAGTCATCCTATAATTCCAGGGAACCCGACTCCAATTCCCAGCAGGTCAAAGTTTATTCTTTGGAACTTCTGGAGAAGAACTTCGGGAGAAGAACTTCTGGAGAAGAACTTCCAACCTGCTAAGGCTCCAATTCTTCTTTGTCTACCCAACCCTTGGCTCTTTGACCATGGAACAGCCAATATGGAGGTATCAGAATAATAGAGGTGGAAGGGACCTTGGGGATCATCTAGTCCAACCCCCCCCACCCAAGCAGGGGACCCTACACCATTTCCAACAGAGGGCAGCCCAGTCTCTTCTTGAAAGCCTCCAGGGATGAAGCTCCCACAACTTCCGAAGGCAACTTCTCTTCCATGGGTTGATTGTTCTCACTGTCAGAAAATTTCTCCTTATTTCCAGGTTGAATCTCTCCTTGGTCAGTTTCCATCCATTATTCCTTGTCTGGCCTTTCGGTGCTTTGGAAAATAGCTTGACCCCCTTCCTCCTCTCTGGGGCAGCCCCTCAAGTATTGGAAGATGCTCTCCTGTCTCCCCTGGTCCTTCTCTTCCCTAGACTAGCCATGTCTTCTGTCCATCCACGGCTCACTCAGATGTCTGTCTGTCTTTCTTTTTCTTTCTTTCTTTCTTTCTTTCTTTCTTTCTTTCTTTCTTTCTCTTTCTTTCTTTCCTTCTTTTCTTTCTTGTGCTTTGGAGAATAGCTTGACCCCCTCCCTCCTCTCTGGGGCAGCCCCTCAAATATTGGAAGATGCTCTCCTGTCTCCCCTGGTCCTTCTCTTCACTAGACCAACCAGGCCCAGTTCCTGCAACAGTTCATCATGTATGTTTGAGCCTCCAGTCCCCTCATCATCCTGGTTGCTCTTCTCTGCACTCTTTCCAGAGTCTCAACACCTTTTTGGACCAGAACTGGATGTGGGATTCCAAGTGTGGCTTCAGTAGTGGGGTATAAAGCTAATTTCCGGTGAAGGTGCTCTTTCTTTCCCAGAATTCCCTGTGATATATTGGGAAGAATCCCTAACCAAGCAGGTGGATCTGGAGAACTGCAGAAATCGTCCCGGCGTGGCCCTCGTTCTTGGCCATGCCATGTTGAGTGGAAATATAAAGCATGAAATGTCTTCATGCACTTTCAGCTACCATCAGACAACATGCTTAGCTTAAGCACTGAATTAAGCCATTTTGGCTGCTTGAAGGTGTGTGGACTTCAACTCTCAGAATTCCCCAGCTTTCCTTCCTTCCTTCCCTTCCTTCCTTCCTTCCTTCCTTCCTTCCTTCCTTCCTTCCTTCCTTTTCATCTCCTCCCTAGCTCCCCCTCTCTCTCTTCCTCTCCTTATCCTCCCTCTCTCCCTTTTTCCCTCTCTCCTTCCTTCCTTCCTTCCTTCCTTCCTTTTCATCACCTCCCTAGCTCCCTCTCCCTCTCTCTCTCTTCCTCTCCTTATCCTCCCTCTCTCCCTTTTTCCCTCTCTCCTTCCTTCCTTCGTTCCTTCCTTCCTTTTCATCTCCTCCCTAGCTCCCTCTCCCTCTCTCTCTCTTCCTCTCCTTATCCTCCCTCTCTCCTCTCCTTTTTCCCTCTCTCCTTTTCCTTCCTTCCTTCCTTTTCATCTCCTCCCTAGCTCCCTCTCCCTCTCTCTCTCTTCCTCTCCTTATCCTCCCTCTCTCCCTTTTTCCCTCTCTCCTTCCTTCCTTCGTTCCTTCCTTCCTTTTCATCTCCTCCCTAGCTCCCTCTCCCTCTCTCTCTCTTCCTCTCCTTATCCTCCCTCTCTCCCTTTTTCCCTCTCTCCTTCCTTCCTTCGTTCCTTCCTTCTCCTCCCTCTCTTCCTTTTTTTTTAAAAAAGCGAGTTTTTTTTTTTTAAGAAGAGAAAAATTAACAAGTGGAACACTTTCCCTCCAGACGTTGTGAGTGCTCCATCTCTGGAAGTTTTTCAGAAGAGCCTGGACAGCCAGGGTTGGCAGCTTGAGCAGGGGGTACGACTAGAAGACCTCCAGGGTCCCGCCCAAGACTGTTAACCTGTATTGTGACCCACATAATGTCCAGGGGTCTCTTAGTTGTCCAGCACTGTAGAGACAGTTCACAGATACAAACTGCCAAGCGATGCACAAATTAGAGTAGGGGTCTCCAACCTTGGCCACTTTAAGACTTGTGGACTTCAACTCCCAGAATTCCTCAGCTTTGCTGGCTAAGGAATTCTGGGAGTTGAAGTCCACAAGTCTTAAAGTGGCCAAGGTTGGAGACCCCTGAATTAGAGGAAGACAAGAGGGATCACACGATGGAGCTTTGGCTGCAGGGCCAGGCACCCGTCTAGATGTCCTCTGAGGAATCCCAGCAGATCTGAGTCTGGCTGGGAAGGCTTCTGAATGGGGTGCGTGTGTGGTGGGGTGGGGTGGGGGATGCAGAAGCCTCCATCCGCCCCGTTCTCCGAGGGCCATTAAAATTTTTTGGAAAGAACAGCAACACTCTGCAAATCAAATACATATTTTTACGGCTTTCAAAAAAAAAAGGCTGTATTTTTCCAAAACATCTCCCCAAATGTTTGCAGCCGGTTGCCAAGGGAACGACTCAGGTGCTGCCAACTGCAGACTGGCCACGGAGAAGCTCGGAGGAAAGAGACGGTGGCAGGCCATGCTGGGTCCCCTTCTCTGGCTGGGTTGTTTCTTGGGAAGGAAGGGAGGGAGGAAAAAAAGGAAGGAAGGAAGGAAATGGGGAAGGAAGAAGGAAGGAGGAAGGATAGAACACAGAAAAAGAAAGGAAAGAATGAAATGGAGAAGGAAGAAGGAAAGGAAGGAAGGAAGGAACACAGAAAAAGGAAAGAAGAATATGGGGAAAGAAGAAGGGAGAGGGAGGAAAGAAGACAGAAAAAGGAAGGAAAGAAATGGGGAAGGAAAAAGGGAGGGAGGGAGGAAGACAGAAAAAGGAAGGAAAGAATTAAATGGAAGAAGAGAAGGAAGAAGAAGGAAGGAAGGGAATTGGAATAAAAGCAAGGAAGGAAGGAAGGAAGGAAAAAGAAGGAAGGAAATGGGGAAAGAAGAAGGGAGAGGGAGGAAAGAAGACAGAAAAAGGAAGGAAAGTAATGGGGAAGGAAGAAGAGAGGGAGGGAGGAAGACAGAAAAAGGAAGAAAAGAATTAAATGGGGAAGGAAGAAGGAAAGGAAGAAGGAAGGGAATTGGAATAAAAGGAAGGAAGGAAGGAAGGAAGGAAGGAAGGAAGAACAACAACATAATTGCAGAGTTGGAAGGGACTTTGGAGGTCTTCTAATCCAACCCCCAACTCAAGCAGGAAACCCTATACCCGTGATGGCAAACCTATGCCACAGGTGGCACACGGAGCCATATCTGTGGGCACACAAGCATTGTCCTAGCTCGGCTCCAGCCCGCAAGTGTGCGCTGCCCAGCTGATTTTTGGGCCTTTTGGGCCCACTGGAAGTCGGGAAACAGGCTGTTTCTGGCCTCCGGAGGGAGTAGGGAAGGCTGTTTTTACCCTCCCCAGGCTCCTAGAAAGCATCTGGAGCCTGGGGAGGGCTAGGATAGAATAGAATAGAATAGAATAGAATAGAATAGAATAGAATAGAATAACAGAGTTGGAAGAGACCTTGGAGGTCTTCTAGTCCAACCCCCTGCCCAGGCAGGAAACCCCACACCACTTCAGACAAATGGTTATCCAACATCTTCTTAAAAATTTCCAGTGTTGGAGCATTTACAACTTCTGGAGGCAAGTTGTTTCACTTATTAATTATTCTCACTGTCAGGAAATTTCTCCTTAGTTCTCAGTTGCTTCTCTCCTTGATCAGTTTCCACCCGTTGCTTCTTGTCCTGCCTTCAGGTGCTTTGGAGGATAGCTTGACTCCCTCTTCTTTGGGGCAGCCCCTGAGATACTGGAAGACTGCCATCATGTCTCCCCTGGTCCTTCTCTTCATTAAACTAGCCATGCCCAGTTCCTGCAACCGTTCTTCCTATGTTTTAGCCTCCAGCTCCCTAATCATTTTTGTTGCTCTTCTCTGCACTCTTTCTAGAGTCTCAGCATCTTTTTTACATCATTCGTGGTGACCATAACTGGATGCCGTATTCCAAGTGTGGCCTTACAAGGCCTTATAAAGTGGTATTAACACTTCACGGGATCTTGATTCTCTCCCTCTGTTGATGCAGCCTAGGATTGCGTTGGCTTTTTTGGCAGTTGCTGCACATGGCTGGCTCATATCTAAATGATTGTCCACCAGGACTCCAAGGTCCCTCTCACAGCTACTACTATTGAGCCAGGTATCACATATACAGTACCTGTACGGTACGGTACGGTTTTTCTTCCCTAAATGTAGAACCTTCCTTTTTTCACCCTTGAATTTCATTTTGTTAGATAGCGCCCAATGTTCAAGTCTGTCAAGATCCTTCTGGATCTGGAGCCTTTATCTTCTGGAGTGTTGGCTATTCCTGCCAGCCTTGTGTCGTCTGCAAATTTGATGAGTTCCCCATCTATCCCCTCGTCCAAGTCACTGATGAAGATGTTGAAGAGCCCTGGGCCTAAAACAGAGCCCTGGGGTTCCCCACTGCATACTTCCCTCCATGGAGATGCCGTTCCATTGAGGGCTACACATTGAGTGCAGTTGGTCAGCCAGTTACGAATCCATCTGGTGGTGAGGCTGTCTAACCCACATTTTTCTATCTTTTATTCAGTAGTAGGTTATGGTCTACTTTACAGGCCTACTGGGCCATCGTGTGCCAAAAGCAGGGGTCGCGCGTGCATGCACGGGGTGCAAGGTGCATTGAATTAGGTTGTGGGCACATGCACGCTTGACCCCCCCCGCATGGTACCCTCCCACTTTTGGCACACAATGGCAAAAAGGTTAGCCATCACTGCCCTATACGGTTTCAGACAAATGGTTATTCAGTCCCTTCTTAAAATCCTCCAGGGATGGAGCACCTACAACTTCTGGTGGCAAGTTGTTTCGCTGGTTAATTGTTCTCACTGTCAGGAAGTTTTCTGCTTAATTCCAGGTTGCTTCCCTCCTTGATGAGTTTCCATCCGTTGCTTCTTCTCCTGCCTTCAGGTGCTTTGGAGAATAGCTTGACCCCCTCTTTTCTGTGGCAGCCCCTCAAATTTCGCAAGGCTGCAATCACATCGTTGGTTTGATGTCATATTCTTTGCATCCCTCATCTGTTGATGTCACAATGGCCGTGGCCTCCCTTCTCTCCTTCTTCCTGGGATGG